TGCACGTGAGTGAAGAGTTGTGTAGCTTTGTAATTTTTTTACATGTTTGTCTTTAAATTTGAAAAAAAATATATTCGTTTGGATGTTTCATTTTCTCAAAACCTACTCACGCAATTTTTCTGAAATTAATGCTAAAGGTTACAATATGAAAGGTAAAGGTGCTGTATTAGGTTTAGTAATCTAAGTGTACAAATTGTCATATCAAGATCATGAGATGTTATATCAAGTTTGACACACATTAGTTATAAAATTGTAAATATAAATGGAAATATAATAAATCTACTACAGTCTACGCAAAATTCACTGGTTTGTATCAGTATTAAATCTGAACAAAATAGATTGGATTCATTTCGATAAAATGGGAACATGAAAATAGTTAATGGGCTGTAGAGGACTCATTGTCCCTTAAAAGTACACGTTTGTGTTCTGACAACGACGTAACATATGTTTACATTTTCTTTGTGAATGGCTGAGAAGCCACATGCAGCGCCGCTTGGCGGGAAGCCTCGCCTAGGCTAGTCGTAGTTCAAAACGGTCAAGGTATTCTATTCACTCACTCACAGGCTCGTTGATAGAACCTTTATTCGAGGTTTACAAATCGTTCAAGACTTACGGCTGTACGCAATATCCTGAAAATGAAAGAAGCATAATGCAATATTTTTATTACAATCTTAGTAATAAAATATTTGTAGATATGAAATATGTATATCTGTAACTAATTATTGGGGCACTCGGTAAAATGTGTCAGTTTTTTATCATTACAATATCCACAATGATGAGTAAATGCAGGTGAAACGATTTTTATTCATGACTTCGCAATACCCACACGTTAACAATAACAAGATATATAATTCGTTATTTATATTCGTGTTAATTAGTGGTTGCTCGTAAGTAAACGTTCATGGTTGGCAAAACTAATTACAGAAAATTAGCAGATCAAGATGAGCATGGAAGTTATGTCGCCTATGTCTGGTTCCAATATTTTTGTTGTAATTTTACTCAATTTATTCAAACTGTCACATCATATTCCAAAGAAGTATTCCCAGTCAGACCAACCGACCAACCGGACGTCATTTCAAGAAGAAATTTACGTTGTAAAAAGTGTCATTTTTCTTTAAGTAATTTGTGGAGTCGTCAGATTTATAGTCGGCCTCCATTTGAAATACGTTTTGAGAATATTACAGAATTATTTCTAACTTTTTTATTGTCATATTGTATCTTATACGGTATCGTTTACGGTATGAATCTAATTTCGATACTCTACTCATGCGCGTAATCAGTGTATCTTCAGTGGTATAGTGGAACCACATGCATACTCTACCAGCATTAGCAATTATAATCACGTGACTTGTATAAGTCCTTTTCGTCCTTTCTCCTCTTAAATAAGTTTATTACCTACCCACAAGCCAAATGGTGGGACGCGAATAGGAAGCTTACAGTTTGCCCCGGTTGGGGTAGTGTCCTGTTGGTAGAGATACCAAGAGGGTAAAAAATACCCGCAAGCCGACATCTAGGTCGGTGCTGGATCTCACGTATCAGAGCAGGAACGCCGGTATTCCAGCACGACACTTACACGTCTAATGACAGTGACGAATCAACAACTCGCGTCAGAATGTAAAATGAGACTAGGCAGAGGAGGAGGCAGGTAGATGAGCAAACAGACTGACCTGCGGATAAGTATAGAGCGAGAATGTTATTTTAAGAAATAGTTTTCATATGATATCATTTTATTTTAGATAATTCATTATTTTTGAAAAAAGAATGTAAAATATTACAATTAAATAGTATGAAACTAATACAGAGAGAATGTTTATATGATTACAATAATTTGCACAAAATACACTAACAAAATCTCATTTGCAATCTTTATTTTTCAGGTCTCCGTATTTTGAAGAGGGGATCTTGTGACGAAGCGTAATGGCAACCAATCTACTTCCATGAGCCTTCCAACAAAATGTAAAATATTAATAATTGCAGTTGCATCATTTGATATTAAAGCTCTCATAAGAATTTCGTGAAATCTGTAAATATGTTATGATTTGTTATTAAAATATACTTTCAGAGCATTATACATGTTATATCGTTCTTTTTGTGAAACATTTTCAATAAATATATTTTATCAAAAGACCCAATTTAGGCGCCACACCCATTTTGTTAGCAATCTTATTTTACCGGTCTTAATTTCAAAATATCTGTATTGAGATGAATGTGAACACAGACATAAAAAATGGCACTTATTGAAAAATTTCACAAAAAAACAATTTTCACTTTCTCGCCCTTACGAATTTACATTTGGAAGACAAAGAGAAAGTACGGAAGAGAAAGTATTGTACTCGTGCACTAGAAAAAATCGAATTTTCGTCAGGAAAACTCTTATAGGACCCTGGTAAGGAAAAAGTAATTTAATTCGGTTCCTTTACTACATAGTACATTACTTCCTTTAGCACGTGATATCACCAGAATCCATATTGCGTGGGTACTTGGTACCGAAAAATCGATTGACGGCAAACCGTCTGTCTGTCTTTCTGTCTGTCCGTCTGCGGCCGATGCCTAAACCGTTTAGCCTTCTCCAATCAGTAGTGATATTCCCTGAGAAAACTGGACGAATACGATACTTTGGGAGTTTCAAACGGATATTTTGATTTTTATGGTATTTTACATGAAGTCTCCAAAAGCTTTTTAACATTTTCTCAATAATCGCTCCAATTTTTTTTTTAAATTTTCTCCCCGTATGTATTAGAAGACGGAAAAAAAAGCTGGAGGTAGTCCACGGCTTAAAAATTTACAATGTTTTGTACAGATTGCTAAACGTCAATGATCTCCCGTGGTTGTTACATCTGTTCTGTATTCCTCAGCTGGAGTGTGTCAATAGATTCATCCATTTGTGCGAAGTTTCTGAAACTCCGCCTATTTCTGGAGTTGCCATTTTTTCCTCCAGACTTATTATGTCATTTTGAGGCATGTGTTCTACCATTGTTGTGTTCGAACCACCATTGCAGATAATATTAACTACTTGAATAGATATGGGAAAGACAAGAGATTTTTTCCTTAAAATCCGTTGTAAAATATCAGCTCTTAAAAAGTGTTATGTACAATTTTTGAAGAAACGAGTAATTTTCGTTTAACTCATGCTTGAAATATATGCAAATTCTAAAAAATATCTCAAAAACCGCTCCAATTTTTTTCTTAAATTTCTTTCCCTAGATATAAAAAGGGACGCATGAAAGAATGGAGCGTGTCCCATTTTCCTTGTATTATCTGATTTTCAAAAATTGCAAATTTGGAAACAATACGAGAAAGTTTGTGCCTGTGTAGCACCGCTAGTTTATTTAGAGACAAAATTACAAAAATAAAGTACCTTGGTCGTAACGGTATCGGTCGACCTCGGTCGCACGGACACCAGGAAGGTACGGGACCCAATGGATTAAAATAGCGTTGAAGTCAACACAGGTTTGTAATATAGTTCATTCCTTTATATTGAGTACATATGTATTATGGTGGGGATGCTTAATATCTTAAACTTACAATTATTCCTGTCTCTTCGTTTAATTTTAACAAGATATTTGCATTATGTACAGTTCATCACTCTCATTGTTTGCGTAGTATGAGCTTACTAACTCTTACAAACTAAATTTACATTAGACCCCACTTATGTACACGTACTCGCTTTCACACGCTTGCGTTTCACCGGCTCACCCGATTGTTGCCCGGTGGGCACTCGCACATTTGTTCCATCACAGCCACTCTGTGGACGGCGGTGCACTCCCGACAATCTGTAGCTTCAGGGGTGCGCAGCGGGGGCGACCGGGTGTCGTGCGCCAGGCCTGGCGGGGGCGCGGACTCGTTTCTCAAAGGCACCAAGTCCTCTCGGGTGATGCGACTGTAGTAACACGCGGCGCGACCAGAGATGGCCTCGGTGCCTATGCGTTCTCGTAGTTTCTTTACCTTGTCGCCAGAAGTGAATATGTTAAGGGTCGTGTCGGTGCCCCCGTTCCACTCGCTAAAGGCCCTTACCACAACTGGGAAGTTGTTCAATTGCCCGGTAGTGCGGACCCTGCCGAAATGGGCGCGAAGCATTGTAGTACTTGATCGTTAGTAACTAGCTGAAGTACCTCGCGTTGCTGGGTCATTCTGCCTCACCTACTCCGTTTGTCCAAGAGAACTCAGCGTCTGACGCCCCTCTTGAGACGCCCCAGTTGAGGCGCGATTTCAAATGTCAAACATTAAATTAAAGATGACGCAAAGCTGAAACGTCTGAGCAAGGAGAACACAATATTGTAAAAAAGTGAGTGTGAAAGTGCAAATTTCCTTACTTTGGCGGAACAAGCGAGAATATTTTGTACTTCTGTTCCAAATTCAGCAAATGAAAGAAAATGAAGAGCCTCTGATCAATTTTATTTTAGAAAAATCTCTATCTTTAATTTTGTAGTTGTAGGAAGACCCCGAAAAAAATTCAAACTTTTGAAATTTTCGAAAATTTATAGTTAACCGTGAAAATAGGAACTATGCCACCTTTATAAGTGTGTTTTAATATATTCTTGCAAGAAATTTAAAGAAAAATTTGGAGCCATATTTGAGAAAACTTTGAAAATGTCCCAGGGGCTTCACGTAAAGTACCCTCTAAAATTAATAAATGATTTTCAAAATCGCACAACTTCGTTTCAGGCCAAATGAACTGGGTTTTCTTCAATTGGGAAAAAGTTCTACGCATGGTTTAGGCGCTAGTGTTGTCCATATACGCCAGACAGACGGACGGACGGACGTTTAAAAAAACAACACTTTTTGGATATCAGGGGACCTCAAAACGTGTATTTCCGTTGAAATCTCGCAATCAATTTTCCGCAGCATTACATAACTTTCCCTATACTACGTATTTACTCTCTATATACGTATACGTATTCGGGAAAGTAAAACATAATAATATTGATTCCGAATTAATCAATTTTATTGATACGATGGATAATGTCGGAAAAATCTTTAAAACTTTATTTAAATAATTAATTATTCACAATTCCATACACATTCAGTTCACTTATAAATGTAGCTAGGATAATCAAAATATTAGGCTGAAGGATTCCTCGAGTTCCTTAAGTCGTTCACCATCGCCAGTCGTTCACCTGCCCCTTCAAAAAGGCCTGTGACTCAGCCCACTCGAGAGACTCACGCGAGGACACTCGAACTTACGGCGCTCGAGGATAAAAAAAATCGCTCAAGCGAGTGGGAATGAGCAATGGAAACGACTTACGCACTCTATTATGAGCTTTTGTTGGTAGGAACACGGACCAATCCTGTCAAGTTCGTACAATTGAGAGTATTCACTAATAGGTTAATTTCGCCCTTGTTTTGAGTATCGAACAAACACTTCCTACAAGGGAAAATATTTTCTTTTAGATGTAATCCGACGATACAAAAATAAAATTGCTTGTTTGCAACCTTGCAGATATACTTTGCAATGGATAATTTATCATACTTAAAAAGGATGCACAAAATAATAGTATCTTATCGTATTAAATGCCAATCTTTAAGGACTGACTTCAATGACTTCTTAAGTTGTACGATAAGTTTCAAGAGGATATCTTTCTCTCATTGTGTTAAAACACAATTTAATCAATTTATTGAGCAAAACGTTTCATTGCAATCCAACAAAAGGTTTTCAATTTTGTATACACCAGTGCGAATTTCCCCATTTCGTGGAACACATCTAATGAGATAAATATCTTCCTTAACAGGTTTAAAACTCGTAAGATTAGGTAAAGTTACAGTGTAGCATTGAAAGAGATCACAAATGTGATAATAAAGCCTTTGGTGCAGTAATGTGCGACAATTCCGAAGCGAATAATCAAAACCGCTTTTTCGAATCCATATTCAAGAAGACAACGCTTTCAAATCCTTGGAAATAAGAACTTTTCAGTCAGCGCCACATTTGCTCCTCAGCAGCCCCTTTCAACCTTTTCCTGCCTTTCATCCCCCAAACTACGGAAGGATTAGTCTGTACTACTTCCGGTCTCCTGACTACTACTTCCGGACTCCAAGGACGTAGAACTACAATTGTTGTTCTGTGACGAGCCACGACATATTCACAAACTTAGAGGTGCTCAACAGCACATACTTTCTCGTATTACTATGTAATTTTCTAATATTAAAAAAGAAGAAAATGAGACACGCACAAGTTTCTTATTTCTTTCTGTTCTACGCGTGAGGGTAATTTAAAGAATGGCAATAATGTATGAAAATAATGGAAGTCATTTTTATCAATTTAAATTTATTAAGAGAGGCGGCCTTTGACAACTTTTCCGTCATCATCACTCTATAATTGTGGAAAATAAATTCAAAATCTTAATAAATACCAAACAATAAAATAATAAAATTAATACAAATTATGGAATAAACATAAGTACATTTAAAAATTGTTTTCCAATAAAAAATTATCTTAATAAATCTAAGTTGCTATTTAATCCTCAAAAATGTCAACAACACCTTATCAGCATCACCATAAATTTATATTGTTGTTTTAAGAAGAAGCCGAAAAAATTGAACTTTTCCAATTTTTGAAAATTAAATATTTTAACGAAAATGAGTCCTATGCCATTTTTAAGCGTTCTTTATTCTATCCGTGGACAAAGATTTGAAGCCATTTTGGAGAAAATGTTGAAAAACTTGTGGGCACTTCACGTTAGATACCCTCAAAAATCAAAATATTCGTTTCACTCTCCAGGACCTTGAGTTCGTTCAGATAGAAGAATATCAATTTTGGAGTAAATCTTCTGGACGGATTAGGCGCTAGCATTTACACGGACATTCAAACGGTTTGCTTTCCATCGATTTTTCGGTATCAAGGACCCATAAAACATGGATTTGGAGCACGCAATATGTTAGAGAAAGTCAATTAGTACATAAATAGATTTAGCAACTTTTTCGTTAGCAATAAGAGTTTTACAATTGAAAAATCGCCGATTTCTGCCGCAAGACTACCATACTTTCTCTTTACTGCGCACGTGGTAAGGCGAGAAAGTGAAAGGGGGGATATCTCATCAATTACGATGCTTAGAACAGATTTTTATTTCCAATGTGCGAATAAGACAAAATCCACAAATAATTACCCAAGGCCACAATCAAATGACAACATAGACAAAAAGAAATCCAATTATTGAAAACCTTGAAAAATTGAATGCCAAAAGGATAGTAGCATGGCGTCTTTGCCAGTAGCGCTCTCTGTTTCTCGCTGCGCTGGCGGGTCCGTGTTTTAATCCGCCCCCAGGCAAGGGGCCAGTCGTTGAGACCGCTTGGTGACTCGCGTCGTTACTGAAGAGTAGCGTCCATGGCGTTTTGACTGACGGCTTCGACTTACAGGAACTACGGGGCGCCTAGCCTAGGGGTGGTCGCTGACGGAGGCTCGCTGACGCCGCAAAGCGATTAGGTTTTGGTAGTGGTCCGATTCGAGACTCAGTAACAGCCAATCGTCCGTTGCCTGAACGTGTTTGAGACAAAAAGAGTAATAAAATTATTAAAGCAATGCCAATAGTAAAAACCAAATGCCAATAGTAAATGCCAAATTACTTTACAGCAATGCCAATAGTAATAACATGTTTTAAGCTTTGTTTCTATCCATATACAAAAAATTAAAGTATGTCTGTCAGTAATTTCAAAATGCCTGTTTTATTTTAATCTCATATTGTTATCAACTCGTTATACCCATTCTATCATTTTCACAATTTTTGTCTGTCACAGGCACACATGTTTGTCCTTCGTTATCCCTGTTAACGGCTGAATCGATATTGGAGCGGTTTTCACTAAAAGGTAGGATATTTTGTCGGGAACATCTGCATTTTTTTAAAAATTTTCTCTCTGGTTATGTTTTTTACATACATCGGCAGTTTTATTCCGATCATAATGAAATTTTGAACACGTGACCTTCAATACGAGAGAAACGTTACTGTTTGCCTGTTATTTTGTAAAAATTACTCCTATTACACATACCTATTCATTCGAGTAAAATTTATTTGAAAACTCTTTCCGTGTAAAATAGTGAGTAAATTCACCAAAGCGAATACCACAGGTACACAAAAAAGTTCAAACCCAAAACTTGACACGTTTCTCAGTGAATGTCGACGCGCTGAATCCGGATCCGAAGCCAGAAGAGCGGCATCACCTTCCTTTTTTTTAAATTGCGAAAAAACACAGTGAAACTGTGCGGCGTGCGGCGGCGATGGTGTGACGGTTAGCGTACCGGACTGTTGTACCTGTCGCGGGTTCAAACCCGATCAAAGCTGTGGATTTTTAGGACGACAAAATCCTTCGTACGTCTTCCTTCGGAGGGGAAGTAAAGCCAGCTGCCCCATGTTAGTAGATTTACTTGCATGTAAAAGATCCTCAAGCATAAATGACGCCTCTAAGCTAAATTCAAATCGCCTGTTTCTCGCCCAAGAAATACCTCCTTTCTCTGCTAGTTGGTGAAAGGAGCGTAGCGAAATTTGCGTGGTCAGACGGAAGAGCGGGCCTGATGGCCCGAGTCTCGCCACGTAAAATAAGGCAAATTCAAATTCTAAATTCTAAATTGCATGGCAGTTTTTCGCGATTAAAAAACAAACAAACAAAAACCGGATGGTGATAGCGCAATTCTGACTTCACATTCGGATTCTGTGCGTCGACATACTCGTACAAATACACAGAGAAAGATATGTAAAGTCTTTCGGTCTGACAACCTTTTTAGGGGTGGGGTCAGTGTAATTAAACGTTTCTTAATGCCCATAAAAGTTCCTACATGCATTAGGCTCAAACTAATAAAAGTAAAATCAAACTAAGGTAACAATCAAAGGTAACAAAAATGAAAGTTTCTTACAAAGAACTGTTGAATTTAAGAAACTGTGTTACAGCTTGACGCAAAATTATGCAATGTGATTCCAGCTCAGCACAAGAATAAATTCACTGATTTTTCACCGCAGGAATCGAGAAAAAAAAACGTTGATACAACTCTCCATCCTGAGACTGAATGGTTCACTTAGCCTTGTTGATAGGAAACCACACGTTCAATAAAGCGACAACAGATATCGCTTCATGATACACATCGAAGTACAGTTAATAGTAATAATCTTTCCCAGATGGCGTTGAAGTGACCTGAGGTACAGAATTG